TTGTTTACTAAATCCAGTGGTCACAGAGGTGAAACTATTAGAGACTGTACTTTTCTTATCCAGATGAAATTTTGATCTTAATGTAGTTTGCAGACAACGCTTATAATGACGAGGAAAACCAGCTTGATCACCCCATCCAAAGAGGGCTTTTCTGGGAGACAGGAATAGCTAGCTATGTGCAGCAACTATTTAGTAGTTTCTGATTTCAGATAAAATGGGTTTATTGTTGAATAATCACTCGTCTCTGAAAACACATCAGTTATTCTGGAAGACAGCAACTTTTATTTGGTAAGCATGAGCACTCAGGGAGGTGAGTGCAGATTAGAGCAATATTCTGCAACTGTGCTAGGCAGCTTTTCTAGGCAACATCCCTAAGCGGGCAAAAGAGCAGGAAATCTGCAACTGGGAGAGCACTGAAATTAAGCACATTTGGTACAGGAATCGCTGAAATAATGCCATGTGCACTTTAGCTTTTCAGGAATAAAATAGAGATCACTGTAGACTTCAGTTTGTCTAGTTCAACAATAGTAGTCCTTCTTATACATAAATAAGATTATTTATTGTTTTCTTGCTTATTCTTTCTTGATTTTTGAGGTGGGGAAGGAGCATTTGAAAACACTACTTAATAAAGAGCAGCAGCAAAGACACATACCTATGCAGGGGAAGATGCTTTGTAATTAGAAGTGCTTTTAACATAAAGGTTTATGGACTTCACAGTTTAATTACAGAATGTGTCAGAAATAATTATACCTGACTTTAGAGGACTTCTTAGATGTCTTAGATTTCTCTGGGTCTGTAATAGACTGACTACCCACATTATTAAGCTACTGTTTTCTGAAATATAGCTGTTGTCTGAAGATCTAAGCTCTTTTTTTTTTTTCTTCTCTTAACACATAACAGACTCGCAACCAACCAGTGACAAGTTATACTACTTTAAAAAAACCACCCCAAACCTCATCTAATAATTAGCATACATTATGTATAAAGCAGACTTTTTAGAAAACTGCTGATCAACTTTCTATGTTGGAACTGCATAGAATGCATTATCCTGATTCTGGAGTCCAATATAAAGACATACTGTATTTTTAGTGTTACATTTCATTATCTGTTTTATAAAATAACAGTACTATTCCAACGTTCTCTTTCAAGTGATAATTAATATTTATTATTAAATGTTCCCAATGAAGAATACATTAGGAGTGGAGCCAAACATTAATTACTCAGATTGATGGGTGACCTTAGAAAAACCCATGCTTGAGATTGAGGTCAGTAAATATTTTGTATCATGACAACTGAAACTATTAACCCTGTCCTGTGGATGACTGGAGTTTGTCTCTGCAAACACAGAGCTGTGAAAAGCCATTCAGAAAGCACTCGAAAAAGATTTGCTTCCAATTTTACTGGCCAGCGATAGCACAGGCAGCTTGAGGTTTTGCTTATTCATACTTCTATCGCTTTGTGCTTATAGTGGGTTAGCCTTGGCTGGCTGCCAGGTGCCCAGGGAACAGCTCTCACTCCATCTCCTCAACCAGCCATGGGGAGAAGTTAAGATGAAAAAGCTTGTGGGTTGAGATAGAGACAGAGAGATCACTCACCAATTACCGTCACAGGCAAAACAGACTCAACTCAGAGGATTAATTTAATTTATTGTCAATTAAAAATAGAGTAGGATGGTAAGAAACAAAAAGACAAAACTAAAACCACCTTCCCCCCTCTCCTGTTTCTTCCCAAGCTCAACTTCACTCCTTCATTCCCAACTCTTCTACCTCCTGGCCCCAAACAGCACAGGGGGATGGGGGTCACGGTCAGTCCACAACAGCTCCTCTCTGCTGCTCCTTCCTTCTCACACTTTTCCTATTCTCCAGCACAGGCCCTTCCCACTCGATACAGTCCTTCAGGAGCGTGTGCCCTCTCCGTGAGGTGCAGTCTTTCAGGAACAGACTGCCCCAGTGTGGGTCCCCCGATGGGCCACAGCTCCTGCCAGGAGCCTGCTCTGGCTTGAGCTCTTCACAGGCTGCAGCCTCCTTCAAGGCATGTCCGTCTGATGGGGCATGGGGTCCTCTGTGGGCTGCAGGGGGATGACTTTCTTCACCATGGTCATCTCCACAGGCTGCAGGGGAAGCTCTGCTCCAGCACCTGGAGCACCTCCTCCTCTTTCTTCACTGACCTTGGTGCCTGCAGGGCTGTTTCTCTCACATTTTTCTCCATCCTCTCACAGCTGCTGCACAGCATTTTTATTTTTTTTTACCCTTTCTTAAATAGGTTTCCACAGAGGTGCCACCAGCTTGGCTGAAGGGCTCAGCTTTGGGCAGTGGTGGGTTCATTTTGGAGCCAGCTGGAAGCAGCTCTGTACAACACAGAGGCAGCCCCTGGTCTCTATTCACAGAGGCCACCTGCACAGCACCCCTCCACCTCCCACTGCCAACGCCTTGCCACTACACCCAATACAGTGCTATTTTGTGCTTTTCCACAGCAAGAAATCAGACCTCGGTTCTCCCACAAGAGGGGAACTTTTCAACAGTCAAGCTCTGCAGAACTGTCCCTTAAGCTAAGTACAGGATATACTTATTACATAGAAGTACAGTGGATTGGTCACACTTGCACCCTATTCCTCCTGAAGACTAGCTTAATCCTGAACGGGGCAAATCTAGTATTTCACTTAACTAAATTAATATTTCCCTGCAATCAAATGTGCACTGCTGTATCGACAGGTAAGTGATTGCAGGGAGTTTTCATGAGGCATTATAAAAAGAGGTCCTTGATCCTTACAGTATTTGTTGAAAACTAGAAACTGCTGAAGCCTTCTATCTCCTGTACTCAGCAGTTTGTAGTCTTTTGCAGCTTTGGTAAAAGACAGAGGAAGGCATTCCCTTTTTTGTGAAAGGAAACACAGTTTGCATGGTTTCTGAGGCCAGAAAGTGAGTCAGCAGTAAAGAGTTAAGAGTTCAGAGCCACATAATAGTATCCAGTTACTTCACTGCTACAGTCCTGCATTCGGAAACTAACTGTGGCAGACTATAGATCAATTAACATTCATGATTATTTCAGGAATAAGTTATGCTGGAAATTAATAGAGATGACAGCCAAAGCAACCTTTTGAGTTTGTTTATTCATGGACAGTGTTCCTTAAAATTGGCACCACCATCAGAAAATATTGCCATCACTGACACATAATTCTCACCCATCTCAATTTTCATAGCAAGTTAAACTATGGAGCTTGAAAGTTATGAAGTGGTAGAATACCACCTTCTCCCTCAGCAAAACAGCAATGCTCATGTTTATAAATATCTTAACTGTATATATGACAAGGTAAGATAGAGAAAGTAGTGATAAATGCTAAACCCCACGAGGATACTTACTAATACATAACTGTAGTAGTATGTTAATCACATTAATACCTCCAGTAAAACTTGAGGCACCAAGTAAAAAAAAAAAAATGTACTTTGGTTTTAAGCTTTCTTTTGCTTTTAGTTAAAGAAGCTTGTGCCTTTAGTTCAAGTGCTATCTCCGGAAGAAGCACACTGAAATGATTTAGAGTTACAATTCTAGTCAGTTACAAATGATCATATGTAATTATCTTCACAGTTAATACTCAGAATTACAAACATTTCCTAAATTGTGAACACCTACCTCTCTATTCACTGTACTGAAAAAACTTCCAGCCCAAAGTCCTATTTTCCTTTCTTTACCCTTACCTTCTCTGTAGGGAAGGGATTCAGAATGTTTCCTAGAACATATTCCACATGGTCTAAGGAATTTAGACCCTGCCTTTTCCTCTCCCCCTGGACAGAAGAGCTTGTAATCCTATTTCTCCTGAAAGAATAGGAAGGTGCAAGAAAGCAACAGCTTCATGGGTTTATGAAAGGAAGGAAGTGAAGTAATGAAAAATTACAGACAAAAAAGCTACTAGATCCTTCATTCCAGTCATGAAAAGAACAACATTGTTTTGCTTGCAGAACATGAACAGTGCCTGAGTCAACAAGATCGAGTACTTCAGTGAAAATTCCTTTTTTGGTAACTAGAGAGTATGACTTGGTGCATTGTTCATAAGTGATGCAAAGCAACAGGCAAAAAGGGCCAGTGCAAGTAAGGAGGCAGTAAACATGTTTCACACCTTTGACTTGTCAGTGCTACCAGCCTTGACTGCAACAGTAACAAGTACAGATTAACTGAGTTTATGGAAAGAAAAATTAAAGCTAAAAATGTCCAATAGAAAAGCCAGCGTCTTCTCTACATACTTGCAGTTAAGAGCCTGTGCTTTTAGTTTTTCCATCTCTTGCTAGATATTGCACAGCACTTCTACATAATTTTCTGAAAGCTAGATAATCAAGTTGTTCTTTGCCATGTACAACATACAGCTAAGTAAAAGCTATGCTTCCTAAGGAGTCTGTTAAAAAAACCCTGAAACTGGCTCCAACTCAGAGAATTACAAACTCCTCCAGTTTGACCCAAAGCCAAAACTTTATCTCTGGATAGAATTTGGTACATGAGCAAGTATCATTCCCCAAATACTAAACCTGTGGCAAAACCCAGATTCAGAAGCAATGAAAATTTCAGACACTTAAACATTCCAAGACACTTCTCCCATTTTAAGAAAAAAAAAAATAAAATCAAAGCTGTTACTTTGCTCAGCTGTTTGCATTTTGAATTAGAGGAAGGAGATGCTCTGAGATGGAGACTTTGCAGCTCACATGACCTTCAGCAGCTCAAGTGTTAAGTTGCCAAAGAAGCAGCTGCCCAAAACCATTGCAAATTCACAGTGAGTTAGCCTGTTAGATCAGGTTAGGTTTTAAGATAATACCACTGGAAACTACGGAGCAGAGTGTTGCTTCTGTAACAATTGCCTCTGGCTACAGAATGCTGGCATTTGAGATCTGCACAGTTCAGACTTGCAAAAGCTTTTGTATTACAGAGGTTTAAGAGGCATTTCACACAAATTAATGCAATATTGAACTATGCAAGTTGGGGTTTTTTTGGGGTTTTTTTTTTTGGTTTTTTTTTGTTTTTTAAATGTTGGTGCTCCCACCATGAGCCACAAATATTCTGAGGAGCATTACACAGAGTTTGCTTTCTAGAGATGTGCTTGTTTTAATAGAATAAATGGTCCTTAAAAGCTGAAAGGATTAATGACAAAATCCTTGCACTGCCTCAATTAAATGCAATTCCTTGACAGGGTTAGAAAGACTTTGGCCAACAGTTATCATGGCAACAATCACTTGGGGCAGGGGTGGTGGTGGTGAAGACAATACAGATTAAGTATAAAGCTTCCATTTTAACACCACCTCTTTCTCATTACTCACAGAATAGTCTGTTTTCTTCTGAAGGAAACCTGACAGTGCTGCAAGTTACAGGCATTCTTCCCTGTGAGAAATTAGAAAAAAACCCAGTCCTCCCCTTGCTCAGAGCTGTGTGCCCTCCCCACGCTTCAGCAAACACTCAGAAGTAGATGGAAAACAAAAGAAATCAGGGAAAACCCCAAAGTTTTTCTTAGCTGTCTACTTATTTGTAGTACCTTTACTGAAGAGACAGGCAGAGACCTAGTGAACTTGTGTCCAGCAGTCCCTTTAGCACTTGGATTTAGGCTGCTTTTTACCACAGCAGTGATCTGAAAGATGCAGCTCCAGCTGGCTAAGTCACATCCATAAAGGGAAGGCAAAAATAAGCATATAAAGGTGAAATTCAGATAAAAGCAAGAGCAATATTCCCACATATTAGTGAAATTTGAAGTGAACAGACCCAGCTGACAGGTCAGAATGGATCCCACCAACCATGATGCTTGGTCTTTTCAGTCCACCTGCTCCTCTTTTAGCAGATGAGGTTTTCCTCCAACTAGTCAGTGCAGTTGATGCACATAGCTAATGGATCCCTCTCTCAGCAGAGGCATGGCAAGCACTGTGGGGTCCGCATTGGTCCTTTTTCCTTTTGCTCCTACTGCTTTCTTCCCCTGCCCCGCTTGTTCACTCTGTCACCAGAGCTTCTCTTCCTAGGTGGCCCCTGCCACCAGGTCAGACAGATTACCTGTATCTGCTGTCTGCTTAACAGCTTTCACTCTTAAGCAAGACTACAACAACTTACTAAAATTCTTCACGAGCAAGCAAAGGAAAACTTCAAAAGCCATACCTATGAACAACCGAAGTTGGGCTTTTTCCCCTTTATCAATGGGAGTTTGTATTTTGACACAAGATGCCTGACACTGCTTGTTTTCCAGTTTTCTACACTGTTGAGGAAAAGCTTGCTGGAAGCTCATCATACTAGCAGTTCCCTAAACTGTAGAAAGTGTTCTGAGCAATTCTACTGAAAGATTTAAAACATTGCCCTTTAATACAGCTTGTCTTAGGAGATGATAAAACTGCAAATATCCAGTTTAGAGCGTATGTATGTTACACAAGACCAGACAGTGTCCTGCTGTTCTCCTCTGAACACAGGGGCATCAAAATCCAGCATCTCTTAAAGATCCACACAACATGTACCTCAAGTACAGCTTGGAATGTAGTGTTGTCTTGCAACTGAACAGTAAGTACTATATTAGTGCTGGTTTAACCCCCACGGGAAGCTTCAGCAGGTTGCTTGTAAGCCATATTCATGAAACTATGGCAAATTATTCAATATTTCAGACAGAACCAGACACCAGACCCATTAAACAAAGATATCAGTTTCTTCAGTTGGTATGAGTTACACTAACCTGAACTTTCTGTACATTTGAAGAAAAATATAAAGAGTTAAAGTGAAATGATTTTACTTATTTTAAAGGAAATAAGGTTAAATTTTAAGCTTCTGCCTAGTAGTTGTGCTTTCTTCAATTAGACTTCATGAGAGTGGTCAGTCACTGAACCAGGATTCAGTTGTATCATGTATTTCCATTGGTAGCAGAAGTAAATAAGTACACTTCACCCTTGTGTACCTGAATGCCAGATGGACACCAATACCAGCACTGTTAGGGACTAAAAACAAAAAAAAACCCACAGCTCCTCCATCTTACAGCCCAGTCTGTTCAGAAGGCAAGTAGACAGCCATAGAAAAACCCAACCAAAGTATGCTTTGATCGATGCAAGAAATACCCCACTGGTTACAAAGCGTGCAAGTTTCCAACTATACTTATTCTCCATTTTGAGTTGCTGGGACAATAACCTGCCCCCTCTCCTTTTGTCAAGTTCTCAGACATTAGGCACCCACCCTTTTGCTGTGTTAAGAGCCTGTGAAGACCAAACACTTATTTTATGACTAAGGCCTACAAGCATTCCCAAATGGGAAAAGTGTTAGTTCACATCAGTGGACATCCCCCTAGTATAACATCATTACAATCAAAATTGCGCAAGAGAATGTCTTTAAGCAAAAGGATCCAGTATCAGATGTGCAGCTCTGTTCACTGCTGCTGCCTTGATCTTGTACACGTGCCATCTTCATCATATTCACCCATCAACTGCAACATATATGTTCCAGTATAGAGAAGAAAGTGTCCAGTTACTTGTGCTGCGTGGGATATCAGCTGAAGCACCTTCCTAGAAGAAAAGCCATTTGTTTAAAAAAAAAAAAATAAAAAATTCACCAACAGTGACATTGCCCCATCCCCGCCAACACCTTTAGGATGAGTTAGGTAGATATATTTAAGAACTCTCTCATCTCTCCTCACTTCTGAAGAGCTGGTCATCTTTGTCTCCCCTTTAGAGCAAATACTTCTGTGGCCACTGACTGACAGAAAACTATTGACACGTTGGCAGAACCAGAAAACACATTCAACAAAGCAGGCTGTCATTCTGTTAGACATTTACAGGCCTTCTGCAGAGCCATCACTCAAACTACCAGAGCACCGCTGAAGACTTAACTTTGCCCGGG